AACATACTACACTTTGCAAAGATTGGTTGGAAGACACTATTAGTTTATTAATTTCCCCAAAGTGTTTCAGTCTAGCAAGAATACTCTTGGGCAATACATGGACTCTTGACAGAAGTTCCTCTTAAAGATAACACAGTCTAGGGAAGGCACAGGCAATTTTGGTAGGAGTGGAATTCCAGAGAGACTCCCCTTGAGTTGGTGTGGCTCTTCCATTGTCATTTACTTCCCCTGGAATTTGAAGATAACAAGAGCGATTGCTTGACTCAGCTTCCCAGTAGAATATTTGGCTGTTAGACTTATCACAGATGAAGTAAATTTTTAAATGATGACAATTTCGTATCCTAGCACTCTGGGAGGCCGAGTCGGGTGGATTGCTTGAGCTCACGAGATCAAGACCAGCCTGAGTAAAAAGCGACCCCCCATCTCTACTAAAAATAGAAAAACTGAGGCAAGAGGATCACCTGAGTCTAAGAATTGGCGATCACTGTGAGCTATGATGCCATAGCACTCTACCCAGGGTGACAGCTTGAGATTCTGTCTCAAAAAAAACTGAGGCAAAAGGATCACCTGAGCCTAAGAATTGGCAATCACTATGAGCTATGATGCCATAGCATTCTCCCCAGGGTGACAGCTTGAGATTCTGTCTCAAAAAAAAAAAAAAAAGACAATTTCACACATGCACATTACATTAAACAATTTCAAAACTTTAAAATACATGTGCAATATTTATATTGAGCCTTCCTTTCATCCTCACTAAAGAGTAATCAGGAGTAGTCATTTCATATTTGCTATGAAATATTTTAGAACCTAATGTTCTGATTGTGGTTAAAGGTACAGGCACATTTAAAACACTAAAGCCTCTCTTTGGGGCTGGTATTCAGAAGTAGGACTTAAAAAAAAACCCTCAAAACCACATCAGATTTAAGGAATATCATTGACCTGTGTTCTGTGCAAATTGTATGAGAATAAACCAATTCTTAACTAAGTTCTACTCCAGGAGATTAGAAAACATATGTCTGAGGTCATCAAGAATTGAAGTATTCCATTGAGATTCTAGATAGTGACCACCCTACCTAATCTATCTGAGCCTGTTAGCATTTTGAATCTGAAGATGGTGATGAATCAGTAACACTGAGTTTTTACCAATGTGTGTCATAAACTTGAACCTGATGAAAGACAGCTTTGATTATTTTAACTTAGATTAATAAGTATTCGTCACTATCAGTTATATTTTAGCAATAGTCATTTTTTTACTTCTGTTCTTTACCCGTGTAAAATGAATCACAACTGAAAAATTTATTACATCTTTTGGACAGATAGACTCAAACAGAAAATGATAAATGTTTGGAAATAGCATAAAGTCATTTGGTTTATGATTAACTACTTTTTTAAAATCTAGCATGAGCACAGTGAGTATTTCCTGTTTTGATCCATAAAGTAACTGTGCAAGTTTTCTTTCTGGTGTATATTCCATATGAAATATTGACAGCATTGGTTAAATAATCAAAAATGGCGATGCTATTTTAAAGCACTGTTCAATTTTCACTTAAAGATAGCACATAATTCTTTCCAGTGGTACAGTCTGTACAAGACTATTGATCCTTTTCATTACCATAGAGGATCCATCAATAGACACTCATTTATAGGATTCTCAGAAGCCACAAATAATAGGATTTGGAAGAAACAGATAACAGTTTGGTTAGTAGTTGAAACCTCCAAGTTTGCAATAAAAAAAGGCTGTACCAGAGCTCCTCTTCTTACACTAGCAAAAAAAAAAAAATTATCTGATGTCAACAGCCCAAAGACCATTTGTACTTCTGCAAAGCAAAGTGTGATCACAATACAGCAGAATATCATTAAATATAGAATCTTCTGAACACATTAGAGAAAGAGGGGTGCAACTTTGGAAGGCACATTACAAAACTTTCCTAGGCTGTGTTCATGCTGAGACAGTGTGGAGACCAGAGTACTTGTCATTTAAACATTCAGATTATCCATAGAGACTACTTGATAATTAGGAAGCTAAGAAAATTTCATTTTACCCCTAATTAAATACCCCATTGTTGTATGGGGTTTCCAAGGACCCTGAGTATGGCCATTTTGATGTCTCTTCAGCACTGCTATAATATCATTCCTAGGAAGATTTGCTGGACAGATACAACTCAAGAGAGCAGATTGTGTCTTTAATCAAAATAATTTTCATCTTACAGCTCCAGACTTCAACAGAACTCTTGAGTCCTTTCACAATCTTTAGTTAACAAATTATATTTTGGGGGAGGGGGGTGGGGTTGTTTTGTTTTTTTGAGATAGAGCCTCAAGCTATAGCCCTGGGTAGAGTGCCATGGCATCACAGCTCACAGCAACCTCAAACTCCTGGGCTTAAGTGATTTTCTTGCCTCAGCCTCCCGAGTAGCTGGGACTGCAGGTACCTGCCACAATGCCTGACTGTTTTTTGGTTGTAGTTGTCATTGTTTGGCAGGCCCAGGCCAGCTTCAAACCCACCAGCTCTGGTGTATGTGGCTGGCGCCTTAGCCACTTAAGCTATAGGCACCACCTAACAAATTGTTCTTAAATACATTTGGTGAACAAAGAGAGCTCACCAAAAGAGAAGATAATAAGAATGTTGCAGAAACTTTCTTAGATACAGGGGATCACAACGCACTGGAGGCTCATGAGACAGAATGCTTAGTGTTATTTATTTTTTATTTATTTATTTTTTTTAGAGACAGAGTCTCACTTTATTTTTATTTTATTTTATTTTATTTTATTTTATTTTTATTTATTTATTTTTTTTAGAGACAGAGTCTGCACTTTATTGTGAGCATCACAGCTCACAGCAACCTCCAGCTCTTGGGCTTAGGCGATTCTCTTGCCTCAGCCTCCCAAGTAGCTGGGACCACAGGTGCTCACCACAACACCCAACTATTTTTTTATTGCAGTTTGGCCAGGGCCGGGTTCAAACCTGCCACCCTCAGTATATGGGGCCAGCGCCCTACCCACTGAGCCACAGGCGCTGCCCTGCTTAGTGTTATTTTGTTGCTTTCTGGGCAGTATAGACTGTAAGTCTAATAAGAAGATAAAGGGAAAAAATCATTGTGTAATCTAATGAGTTATTTTTCTCCAAGGCACTCTACCAAGGCAGTATTACTTATAATTAAGTCATCTTGCTAGAGACTTATCTGATTCAAACTCACACCAAATGGCTTATTGACTGTAAGGAAACTTGCTTCTCCTGCTCTGCTTCTGACTTTTTTCTCCACCTTACTTCATGCCACCTCTCCATATGTCGGGATGGGCAGCACATGGGAGGGAGGGAGTGTTAATTTTGGATCAGAGCAACCTAGATGGAATTCCTTCCTCCTCTGCCACTCCATGCTATGTGATGGAAGACAAGTTATTTAAATTAGCCAAGCCTCAGCTTATTGAAATGTAATATAGAACTAATGATGGTACCTACCTCATAGGTTATTGAATTAAATGAGAAAATTTATGTAAAGAGCTCACATGAGCCAAAGGCATGGCTCATCCTGAGAGTTCAATAATACTAGGTTTTTGGTTTTTTTGTTCTTATTGAGACAGAGTCTCACTATGTTGCCCTTGATAGAGTGTCATGGCATCACAGCTCACAGAACCTCTCACTCTTGGGCTTAAGCAATTCTCTTGCCTCAGCCTCCCAAGTAGCTGGGACTACAAGTGCCCGCCACAACACCTGGCTATTTTTTGGTTGTAGTTGTCATTGTTGTGTAGCAGGCCCAGGCCGGGTTCAAACCCACCAGCCCCAATGCATGTGGCCAACACCCTAACCACTGAGCTACAGGCACTGAGCCCATTTACATTTTCTATTTACATTTTTTTTTTGGAGACAGTCTCACTCTGTTGCCCAGGTAGAGTGCTGTGGCATGAAGCCTAACTCATAGCAACCTCACATTCCTAAGCTCAAGTGATCCTCCTGCCTCCGCCTCCCAAGTATCTGGGACTACAGGTGCCCACCACAACGCCTGGCTATTTTTTGGTTGTAGTTGTCATTGCTGTTTGGCAGGCCCGGGCTGCGTTTGAACCCACCAGCTCCGGTGTATGTGGCTGGCTCCCTCTAGCCGTTGAGCTACAGGCACCAAGCCTAGGTATTATTTTTATCATCATTATTTTGACATTAGAGCTTATACTACTATTCTGTCCTTTTAACTTCCATATACTTGAGTCTAATTCTTGAGGGATGTTGTTTCAAATAAAATCCAGGATGGGTATGTGTTCCAGGAAGGTTGCTTTCATGAACATTTTTTCTCCTTTCTTCTGTCTTATTCTATTATACACTTATTCATATCACATATGTTAAACTTGGCCAATTGACCAGTCAAACAAATGTATTTTGTGTGTGTTCTAATGAGGAAAAAATTAAGTATCTTATAGGTTATGACATTTTAAAGCTCAACAAAGTTCCAAACAGTTAAAGTTTTCAAGACTATAAGTTTTTAAGACTGTTAAGTCTTGAGTGGTGCCTGTGGCTCAAAGGAGTAGGACACCGGCTCCATATGCCAGAGGTTGTGGGTTCAAACCCAGCCCTGGATGAACGCTGCAAAAAAAAAAAAAAAAGAAAAGAAAAAAAGACTGTTAAGTCTTTATAGTCTTGAAACTATCAAAAAATTTTTTTCAAAGAATCAATAAGTAAATGGAAAATTTTCTGAAAAATATCAAGATTCAATTGCAGGTATATAAGATTCTTTTGCTTTCAAAGCCAGAAAAACGTTAATTTCAGAATTTCTCATAAATAAGAGTATACTTTTAAACATGTCTTTTGTCCCATTTGTTAATGGTTTCTTCACATCATATGTACACATACGTCACTTAAAACTTCTTTAATCTGTCTTAATAACTAGAAGACAACTAAATGAACACACCATCTGACATAAAGACACATAACAAGTGCAACTAAATTAAGATGATAAAAAAGGAATTCCAGGAAATTAGCTATCTTAAATGTTGCTGTATCTTGGGCCCCACAGATGATGGAACAGCTGAGTCAGCTGATAACCGATCACCTGCAGATCCAACGCTGGCTCTTTAAAATGGACTATGAGTTCCAAGGAAATGGGACTGCATTTTGTGACATTCCTTGCTACCTAAAGTGCTACAACTGGGTATTAAAGGAGAGTAAGAGATATGGCCCCAAAGACTGGAGTAAGAAATGGGCACAAGTGAGTATTCAGTGATGACTTCAATCCCCAATGTCTGAACAGTTAGGAGATGAACCAAAGGGCTAAAGAAGTTTTCTTTGGGCTCCGCTCTGTCACCTACCAGCAGCATGTATATTCATTCATATACAAAATGAATGGAATTGATTAGGTTGCTTTTGATGTTTTTTCTCTGGGCTCTAAAAGTCTTTATTCACATCTTCAAATTGATTATGATAATTAGGAAGTAATTTTTTATCATATTCAGATAACATGACCAAATCTCATCACTTGCCCTAAGTAGGCCTTGATCATGTGTTCCTAACATCTGTTGTTATTAAGCTATCTGTATTTTATTATGGGGTAGTGAATTCTATTAGTGATGGTTGTCACCTAGAAGCTAATGTATAATAGCATTCTGTCAGCGGTCATATGTTTATGAAGAAATTTCATTCAAGGAAATTTATGTAACTGTTGGTCCCTAGGAGATGCTGAGAAAATAATACAACTCAGGCCAGGAAATTTCCCAGTAAATGCTGAGCTGTGGGTGAGACATCTTAGCAAATGAGTAGACGTGTAGATTTCCCCCTGCATATTGGTGGAAGGATGAATTGTAGACTACAACCTCTCAGTCCATTCCAAATTTGCCTAATAATTAATTTTATATGGTTTAATATGTAAATTATACCTGCCTTTTTAAAAGCTGTCCCACTTTGCATCCAGAGACCTAGACTTGCCTTGGCTTCTCTAATCCCAAATCTCTGTTTTGGCCGTCCTACTGGCTAGAGCATAACTGATTAGGACAATTCAGGCACCAATTCCCTTAACTGGTTCCTTCCCTACCGGCGTACATAGGGGTGGGCTGTGCAAAGTGATTTGCATCTGCTTTGAGCATCCCACTGCAGAAGTCTATGAATCAAGACACAAGTGATGGAAAGGGAGGGGCACACTAGAGGAAACCACATTATTCTTGGGGAAGTGAAATGATGAATAAATCCACAGAACAGTCAGGAGAGAGAGTTCCCTTTGACAAATGTGACTGTTCTCTCCATGATCTATTCTGGGCTTTTTTCCCTCCTCCATCAGTAAATGGACTAAATGCAGTACCTGTCATGGCCAGCTTTTTACATATTATTTAAAGGATACCAAAATGAATCACTCTTCTAGAAAAAAATAAAACAAAGAAAATGTATTTAATTTTGAGACCCATAGTGGTTTCCCATGTGTTCTTTTGAACTGAATTTTATTTCACGTTGTATAGAATTTTCCTTTTAAAGCAAAACTATTGAGATTAAGCCATAAAAGGTATAACTTTTTATTTAAAAGATTGACATGGTTAGTGTGCAAAGTGTTCCCTGGCCTCCATATTTCAAACCAATAATTTTTAAAGAATTCCTCTGACACTAGACTACAATAAATTTGAAATGTCTAAAGCTAAAACAATTTTTAAATACTGACACTTGGCTGAATTGTATCTAGACATTTCACATTATTTAATTTCAGTGATTTTAAACTATACCATTTTAAATTGGCACCAAATACATTTGACACTGCTGTTAATGTTATTAAATGTGAAACTCTTAAATAATTAATAGTCTATCTAAATCATTTTTTTAAACTTAATAAGGAAAAGATAATTATTCAGAAATCTTTTTTACAGTCTGGATCTGGGACCTGCCCTTAGCTGTGCTATGATGAGAAGCCAAAAATAAAAATAAAAATAAAGCAGTTCAGAAAAGCTTTTGTAAAATAGGAGACAATTGACATTCTTTTGCCTTCAAAGTGAAATCACATTCGAAGTGGAGATGAACTGCAATCTCCATTGAGTGTAGCTATTGAAAATTTAGGATTAGAATTCTCCTTTGTTCCAGAAGACCATGGTAATGGTGTACACTTAGACATCAAAGCATTACTTTATGAGCACAGGCATGTTTTAATGTCCTATTACAGTTTGTAGACCTGTTTCTTTTGATAATGAAGATGTTGTATCATCAAGCCTAGCCTGGCACATACAAAACATATGCTGGCAGGTTATTAAAAATTTCAGCTTCTTGATGAAAGACTATCCTGCAGGCTAAAAGTCCAGAGAAAAACTCCATTCTGGGAGAATTATTAGAAATGAGAATATGACTGTAAGCACTAAATTATGTTAATACTTACAAATAGCATCATTTGCATAGCAGTTTATGACACGATACCATGATTTTTCTCATTGGTATGTTGTAGGCAACAGATTAAAAGCAGTGCTGTTTATGGGAGTTTAAACTGTTCTGAGATTCTCTTACATCTTATGCAGATATTGGTTTTAGAGATAGGCAGAATTCAGTGTAAACTCAAGCATCTAATATAAAAAGCATCTCTTTTTCCATCTACTGTAGAACCTCTGTAAGTTGACCACCCAAGGGACTGTAACAAATTGATCAACACACAGAAGTGGCCAACATAAGGAACTAGGCCTGCTGTACCGATATGCATATGGGGTGCATGTCCGATCTATGAAAATTAGGTCAACTTTAAGAAGATTGAGCCTGTGGCTCAATCGGCTAAGGCGCCAGCCACATACACCTAAGGTGGCGGGTTTGAATCCCCAGCCTGGGCCCGCCAAACAACAATGATGGCTGCAACAAAAAAATGGCCGGGCGTTGTGGCAGGCGCCTGTGGTCCCAGCTACTTGGGAGGCAGAGGCAGGAGACTCACTTGAGCCCAGGAGTTGGAGGTTGCTGTGAGCTGTGATGCCACGGCACTCTACCCAGGGGGATAGCTTGAGGCTCCGTCTCAAAAAAAAAAAAAAAAGAAGGTGGTTGGTGTAGGGAGGTGGTCAACTGTGGAGGTGCTACTGTATTTAGAACCAGAGTTATCTGACTAGTTGCAGTGCAGATTTAAAACTAAGTCATGGGGTCAACAGATGCTGAAAAGCTATACTCACATTTTAAAAGATCAGTAAAGACATGTAGGTAATTTAGGAAAAGCAGAATGTTATGTGATGGCCACAATGAAAACAAGTACAACTGTCCTTCATTTTTTCTGGGTGGCTTGGTACCAAACCCATTCTCTTTATCCTGCTAGCCAACAAAACCTACTTTCCTGAGCAGGTTCCAGGAAGCTCATTCACTTAAGCATTCGATGCTTATTAAGGTTTATTGAATCCAAATATTTGCATGCAACTCCAAGCTTCCTGTTCCCTAGTTGTGGGTATTTATTAGGAATAAAGGCTTAAAGAAAGAAAGGCACACTTTCCTTTCACTGTAGGAAAGAGACCTTCCTGGGCACACTCACCTAAGACAGTGCAGGCTGGGTAGACCTTAACTGTGGTACCAGTTGTTCCTGTGGCATTTTTTTCTTAGGGACAGGGTCTCACTCTGTTCCCCAGGCTGGAATGCAGAAGTGTAATCATAGCTCACTGCCACCTTGAATTCCTGGGCTCCTGCCTTAGGATCTGGGACTACAGGCACATGCCACCATGCCTAGCTAATTTTTTTTACTTTGGGGGTAAAATAGGAGGTCTCACTATTACCCAGGCTGAGTTCACTAAACTCTTGGCCTCAAGTGATCCGCCCTCCTCACCCTCCCAAAGTGCTGGGATTACAGGCATGAGTCACGGTGTCTGGCCTTTTCTTATTTTTAAAGGGTAAATCTTCCTTTTCCCAATTCCTGGAACATTGGCTTAGTAATAGTGATGCTACTGGGGATGCAAGAAAATCTTTATAGAGCACTTCCTCTGTGTAAAGCACCAAGGTGGTATAGTTTAGGGTTTCTGTGAGCAGCCCTTCTTTGGGCCTCCATTACCCTGGAGAGTCTGGGATGTGGATGTCTTAATATCACTATTTTACCACTTAATGAGAAAAAGGAAATTGAACTGGTTCTTGAATGCTGCTATTAAATATTGCTATTTCAGCCCTTTGCAAGAGCAATTTTCCCTTTACTTATACTTTGGTTTACTTTGTTAGACATTTTATATTAATTGTGGGATCACCAAAGGGGGAAAAAAACCTAATTCAAGTCACCCAAGCCTAGAAAAGGTAGAATAAACCATAGTTGCTGTTTTGCCTCCTTGTAGAACTAAGTCAACAAACCAAATACACTATTATTAATACAAAAAAGAACCAGCAATCCATTCATGCCATAGAACTCTCTACTTCTCCCTCTCTGTTGTGAAGGCTTCCATCCCTTCTGACTGGCCTTGGAACTGGGTCATGGGAGCCACGGTAGGATGGCTGAGCTGGTGTCCTGTGTGGTATTTATTAGGTATTTATTAGGTGATGTTAAAGAGCCCTTGCCTTGTACCACATAATTTTTAAAAAAATTTAAAGATAATATAACAGGATTAAAGAACTACTTAACCAAATAAGTGCATAATCACTTTTCCCTAAACATAGGGAAATGTTTGCATTTTTGTGTACTAATTTCCAAATATGTGGTATTTATTTCTCGTATCTATAATAGTAGTGTATATGCTAGTTAAACATCAGATTTTAAACATTCTCCATGTTTATACATAGTCTTCACATTTAACAGCTGAATAATATTTCCTCATACTGATTAACTCCAAAGTAGCCTACCAAATAAATTGGAGATTTAAGCTATTTCCAGCTTTCTTTTTTCTTTGTTTTTTTTTGGGGGGGGGGGTAGTGAAGGCAGAGGAGAGAGGAAAGATTTGTTTGTCTTTGTGTTTGGTTTTGGTAAATACTTCTTTTTGCTTCTGTTGAATTATTTCCCTAGGCGAAAGATCCAGAAGAAGAATATTTTATGGCTCTTGTAACATATTATCATATTTCTAAGAAAGTAGTACCAATTTCCAAAGCAAATAGCAGAAAATAAGCATACTAGCTTTATCACAATCTTACCAACACTGGATAGTATGAACTGTTTGAACTTTTTATAGATATGAAAATATATTTTATGGTTGCTACTATTTAATTACTAGTAAGAGTAAGAAATATCCTTTTTCATGTCTTTATTTACTGTTTGTCTTTTATATCAAAAACATAACACCTTTGCATTTTAAAAAATCTAGTAGGTTTTCT